TACTTCAAACTTTTATTTGAATTGATTTTGTTTAAAAATAAAGGTACCAGCAGGTTTTGATCTCCTTCAGCTTTTACTGGAAAGGAATAAATTCTCTGGTCTCTTTTAGCCCACTCAGTATTCGGATTAGACTTGCCCAATGAAGGCCAGCCCTTAATGGGGTGCAAATTTTAGCTTATACAAATTGAAGCCCACATTTCAGATCTGGAATCCTGAGTCAAACCTTGGATTAATGTAAGTCTGCAAGACAGTGGGTAATTTACAATCAATAGTTCCAGATATGGATCTTGCCTCTTGTACATACAGTTTGTAGGATTGGTATAGAGTATGTACAATATGTCCCATATTTCAACATTAAATTCTTGCAACATTCCTTTGCAAGGAATGCCTTTATACCTGTTTGACGTATAAGACTGAGTTTCTCAAACGTAGGATGAGATTTGCCTAAAGGCACTAGCAAGTAACTGAGAACTGAATGCAAGTCAATTGATTTCAAAAGCCTACTGTGTTCTCACTAGGCAATGTTGCCTTTCCAGGAACACTGAGTGTGTGCGATGAAGGCACCATTGTCCAGCATGTCTCACCTTGGGTTTCTTTACTTCCTCTGGTACTCTTGGCAAAGTGTGGTTTCTTGAGATGAGTGTGCTGCGCAGGCTGGAAATGTTGGCAGTGTGCTCAGAATGCCCAGTGAATGTAAATACTTTATTACCTGCTATTAATTCCCCCCAAAATATTCCCCCTCACTGCTCACACATTTATCCTGCCATTTTTTTGACACATTCTGAAACAGTTCTGGAAATCCTATTTTGTGGCTATCTTTAGGAGGTAGGATCAAAAAATGTAATGAATACTGCTGCTAAGCATCACCTAGCAGAAAGGCAGTCCACAAAACATGTCCTCATCCATTTTATTCACCAAATCTAGCATCATGTAACTCCATGGTTAAAATGACTACGAAAGGTAAATGTCTGGTCATCCAAGACAACACAGGTAAAGATATTCATAAAATTTGACCTCCAGAACTGCAAGAATGTGGCAAGAGTGATGGGATGAGGAAGCACTGTGGGGGAGGCTAATGACAATGTGTCCTTTACAATAGTAATTCCTCAGAATTTCAGCCATTCACCATACAATGGCTCCATATGACATCTCATAGAACCACATGTCCCAGTCTGACTCGCAGCTGGACTGAAAATAAGTTTCAACCAATGAGATATACTTATAAGGTGTTTGGAAGTCAGAACTGAAGCATAAGCCACCTTCCTGCTGATTTGGCTATAGCCATTAAGCAAACGTGGTTTGTGGAGAGTGGAACTTTCTAAAGTAGCACCCCAGTGTTTATTCATTATATCCAACATCACGAGTTGCAAGAGATGTTTAAGGCAGGAGCAGTAGGACTTTCTGATGAGCAGATTTCAGGTGAAGCAGTATGTTTTCAGAATCCATGCCTCCAACGAGAGCTCCAAAGCTCCTGCCTCCATAATGGTGGTAGGGGTGGAAGCAACAGAACTCGGCTCCTCCAGCCTTCCCACCACGGCTGCAAACACCTGCCTCTCTCTACTCAGAGTCTTTCTGCTTAAAATAGCTGCCGTGGTTTTTGTTTCCTGCAACTGAGCCCCGCTGATACACACCGTTTCCCTCCTTTGCCTCTAACTGCTGGTTTTGCAACTGCCAACCTTACAATTAATCCTGTGAACACTAAACTGAAAGCTTTGACTATCTTCCTCTAGCCTCCTTATCCTGCTTCATTTTTCTCAGCATTTAGTGTCACCCAATGATTATTTTTATTTATTGGTTGAATCCCTCTCCCTTACCCATGAGCTCCATTAGAAGAAAGGCTCTATTCACTTCTGTGCAACTTTCTATCAATTAGAACAGCACTGGCAAATAGTGGCAACTCATTGGTGTTGAATGAATTAAATCTACTTTTCTTAATAAAATGCTACTAAATTAATGTATTAGTAATAAAATCACCAATGAAATACCCTTGATAATACCTCCTCAAGAAGCTTTCATCTGGATTTTTAACATCCATAAGAGAGCACAAAATGACATGCATCCCCTGATCTCAGCATTATATTTAGGACAGCAAACTCCTTCCAGGTTGCCTGAGCTGTTCCAGATTTTAGCACTAAAGTGTCACATCTTAACATCTCAGTCCTAGCAAAATCAAGATATTAGTGGCCTGAATAAAATCATGAGCTATGAGTCATGAAAAAGGCACTTAGAATTTTATTAATTTTAGTCACCTTCACAAACAAATACCTGAGAGCCTGAGCAGGTTTTGGTTTCTGAGCAGCCTTTGGTTTCCTTCCCTCACCACAGCCATGTGGAA